ACATGGGGCACCAGTAGAGACGTCAAGGGCGCTTGGCGAAGGTGCACGTGAAAGTCGGCAGGGGAGGGTACCGTCAAGTCCGAGGGCGAGGACATGCTGGCCGAGATGCCCGTGGAGTGCGAGGATTGCGAGCTGTGAGAGGTGGTGGAGAGGGAGAGTGAGGATGGGAGTGGGAATGAGAGCGAGAGCGAGAGTGCGCTCACAATAGAGACATTATTCCAGTTTGTCCAGGCTGCATGCTGATGCGTTCAGCCGTTGCGCGTGCGGCAGTAATAATTGGTGAAATGCGAATTTGAATGGGAATCAATCGAATTCAAAATTGTGGATGTGAATCGAATCACGTGAATGTCGTGTGCGCAAAGCGAGGTCGAGACGTGGCGTCATACATGCTGTTTGGTAGCCATCACTTGCAAAGAAGTCAAAACGCCAAAGCAGAGTAGTCATGACTTGTCAATTGCTCCGCTCACAAAGGCGCAGATCGCAAATAAAAAAATGACCGTTGTGAATGCAACGCCGTGTACCAGTTGCGTACTAATCTCGAATCTAAAAGTTCAAAAGTGGGGGCTCGGAGGTCCGCGGGAGTGTCTTGTCACGTGATGCTTCCTCGTGAAAAGCTGCCCAGGCTCAATCTTGAGTTTCGCGGTGGAAGCTGCTGCTGCTGGTGTGCCTCGTATTGACGATTTCAAAAAGTGGCTTTGGAAGGGGGGACGCTTTCAGTCAAGACTCGTGACTGACTGACGAGAAGAACTTGGGACGCGCTTCACACCAAATTTGAATCAGTTTGTGAGTGAATGTGAATGGATGGATCAAGCGGGGAGAGCAAAGCGATTCACGATTGAAAGCGCTTATTGCGGGCAGCAGGCAGGCAGGCTTGATTGGTGCGCATACATTCGCACCAAGAACGAACCCATCGTTTGCACTCACGACTGCCCACCACCCCTCTCTTCACATCATCGAGCCCAATCACCAAAGATTCAAAAGAGAGATTGATCACAGACGACCATGTCAGGAACTGCAGCCCAAGCACAGCAAGCCGTTACGGCTATTCTGTCTGTATACGACAAGACGGGCTTGGTAGAGTTGGCGCGCGGATTGGCTTCCAAAGGTGTCCGTTTGCTGGGAAGTGGAGGCACTGCCAAGCTGGTCAGAGAGAGCGGAATTGAGATTGGGTGAGTGGCGGGGAGGAGGAGGACATGCTCCAATGATGGGCCGCGCGTATCCCAGAGCTGGCATTCTGCGAGTGCACGCGATGCTCCAAAGCGACATGACGCATGCTGATGATGCGATGCGATCATCTTCTGCCCATCCCTCGCGACAGAGATGTCTCGGACATCACCAAAGCGCCAGAGATGCTTGGCGGTAGAGTCAAGACGCTCCACCCGGCAGTGCACGGAGGCATCTTGGCTCAGATGTCCAAGTCGTCCGACGCTCAAGATCTCTCCGCACAAGGCTACTCGCCAATCTCCATCGTCGTTTGCAATTTGTACCCTTTCGAGCAGACCATCGCCAAGCCGGACGTCTCCATTGCGGGTGCAGTCAAGGAAGTCGATATTGGCGGCGTCACGCTACTGAGAGCGGCCGCCAAGAATCACGAGCGCGTCTATGTCCTCAGCGACCCTAAGGATTACGGTAGCTTCCTCAGCAGCTTTGGCAAGGAAGATGAACAAGCCAAGAAGCTCAGAAACACTTTAGCGTTGAAGGTGAGCGCGATGCTGCTGCGATCCGCAAGTGTTGCGCTGAACATGATGCTGATTGAGTGCCCTGCTCCTCACCG